ATTTTTGTCATTTCTTTGTAAACATTAAAGTAATTTTAGGAGAACACGGCAGTATCATTTTATTAAAAACTATAATAGTTGTTGAGTAAAGTTGAGAAAAGGCACAGGTTAAACAGTTTTCCTGCTAGCTAGCTAGCTAAACCAATTTAACCGTTTCTTTAGTAAAGATAATATGTCGCATTATTATTATTATTATTATTATTATTATTTCTAAACTACTTTAGGTCAGCCATGTCACTGCAGGCTTTCTCCTTTCCATTCCCTGAAACGCGGTTCTTCAGAGCTGGTTGTCTCATCTACAAGTTCAAGATCAGAGGAGGCAGCAGCTACAGGCAAGACAGATGTTCTTCAACTTCAACTCCTTATTAAATATCTATTCTTTCCTTATCTACCTTTGGGTGGTGCAGGGAGTCTAATATGAGAGTAAGACAGCACCACTGATAAATCCCAATTCAAGTTTAAATGAAGGCAGAAGGGCATACTGGACATAAGGCTATGACAGAAACATTATGTACCATCCCAACACCAAGCCTGACATAGGATTTTGTGAAAGTAGTGGGCTATACGTAAAATTTTGTAACGCCTCTGTGACATAGCCTATCTTGATGTTTTTTGTTTTTTTACTACATGACTTATAACTGGAAATGAAATAGTTCAGCTGGTTGTGCTCTTTACCTGTGACCGAGCCTGACAAACCCACAAGACCAAAAATACACTGAGGGAAAAGGACAGATATTTTGAGACCAACATTTCAGTAGAGAATACGCTCAGAATCAGAACAGCTAAAGACAGTCTTTTTCTGGCATTGTTCAATTTTCATATGATTTTGTTTATTTGAAAGCAGAGCAAAACAGCACAAGCTCAACATCCTTTCTTTTTTCAGCAACAGAAAGACTACTGATTGCTTTTTCTGCCACTTGGTGGTTCAATTTCTCCCTCAGTGTTTCCTCCTGAAGCATTACAAAATGTTCTTTGATCACAAAAGTTGAGCTTCAGGCAAGAAAGGAAACACTATTCTTTTATCTCCTTTTAAACTCCTAATGCTACACCTACAGGTTACAGGTTCTGATCTGTATTACCTAAGTTTGTCTTGCCAGAATAAGAGGCTTGACTGACTTCGAGCAGTTTTTCCTGGTCACTATTGTGTGGAGGGTCAGCAGCTCTCCATCATTACATCTTCTTATAGTTTGATGTTTGGCCTGAACAGTCAGAGCCTTTTAAAGAATGTACTGCATCAGCAAACTGCAGTCACAGATGGATTTAGGGTCATACAGTTTAATCATTTTCACTGCATTAAAAAAGTTACCCAATCTGAAACTGCTACAAATGTATACATGTGTTGTGAACATATGATAATGTGTATAATATATTTCATTAGTGGAGAGGAGTTGATGGGAGGAAACTGCTACGATCAGGAACTGGAGGTAATTATGGATCCTGCTCACCTGTTCAGTCATAGGTTGTGTTGACCCATTGTCATTCACACTATTCTTTATCACACTACCTACTTCCACATTGATTGTGACCTCTCTAGTTACATTGCTCTTTCTCTATTTCCTTCCCTTTAACTCTCTCTTTCTTTGTTTTAGGACATCATCAGAACTGTTCTCGGCAACCTGAACAGTCTCCAGCCTTTCACTAGTACACACTTCAATGTCTTCCCTTGTATCCTTTACAGTGAGCCCATTAGTTGATTCATTCATCATTGTATTTATGTCTGCAAGCTTGTATTTCACTGTTCATCCTCATATAAATACTACAAATGTCTCCATCACATCTGTATTTTGTTAACTGTAGCTACCAGATAGGAGGCGTTGGGAGGGAGTGTCTGAGGTGATGTGCAGACATGGTGAGACGAAGCTGAGAGCCTATCCTTTTATTCTTATCCTCTATGTGGAGAAAAACACCCAGAATGGTGAGGATAAAACAACACAGACTTTTTCTACTAAAAGCATTAAATATTATCAGTACAAAGACATTGGTAACTTGCATTTTCATTATTGCACTCACTCCATTTGTCTAAAAACAGATAAGGTTGTGGTCACAGGGAATTGTGAACACTGACACACCCTATATAGGCCGGACACAAACAGGCACTAATCTGGGAAGGAGGGGTCTCTCAGTTGACCCCATATTTATCTTTTATTTTAGATGTACCACAGGAGTGAGTCATCACTTTTTTATATAGTCCACGGTCTCAAATCATAAATTGAACACAGTAAATAGTCCTGTCTGCAGGCATTGTCTGCCTGATACAGATATTGTGGTTCAGTACAGAAAAATTACTGTTCAGGCATGATGATGTGTCATGTTTATTTTGTTACAGGAAAGCAAGCAAAGGAGAAGTTAAACCCAGTGAGTTTTTGTTCTGTTACTTGCATAAAAAGTGAGATCATACCAATTGCAAGATTGTCTCATTTCTATGAACCAGCATCAAGAGCAACTGTGCATTACAAACTTCACAAAAACAGTCTTTGTTGCATGGCTGTTGTACTGGATCAAATTAAACTGAACAGATGATTGATATTTCATCTAACCCTGGTATCACATATTTGCATTTTGCATTTCTAGGACAAAGAGGTATCACAGCACCTCCCCTGTGTTTCTGAGCCCCAGTCAAAGCGCTGTAAGAGAGATTCACCACTAGAGGAGGCCAAACTAAAAGACTTAATAAAGGACTTAGTGGATGAAATCAAGATGACTGTGGGGTGAGTGCTCACACTACTACTGTAAGACATCTGAAGCCATCAGCTACAATTACTCTGTCACATTTAAACGTAAGAAAAAAGTGTGGTTCTTACAGTGTTCCAAGGAATCATTAAATGTTTGATGGTTAAATGATTAAAATGAGTGTAACTGCTTATAAAATCATTGCAAATAAATGTATTGAGTATCTTGCAAATCATTTAGCAGGGCTACTTTATGACAATATTGTTTTTCTGTTTGTTTAATTAAATGCCTCACAACAGACATTTTGATTGCACTATTTTATCAATATTCTTACTAATGTTTCTAATCATATCAATACTACAATATCATACTACAGGTACTGCAATAGACATACGACCATAAACAAACTCCAATTGACCACACAGAGATGCAGAACCACCCCAAAGAGACCCAAAAAAAAACTACAAAGAGTGAAAAAATGGCCATAAAGAGACACAGAACTCTCAAAACTAGCAAAAAAAGACACAAAGCAATCACAAAAAGATGCATAAAGAGAAGCAGAACAACTATGAAGACACACAAAATGACTGATGGTCTTACAAGGGATAGAGGCCCTTTTTCTCATAATCCATCCATGTAGCCAGCGTTGGGCTTCACACCAATATATTATTTTGATAGACATACTGTAGTATAAATGCTGTTCTATAAATAAAATGCCAGATAGACTATATTTAGACACCAAATATATTGGCAGAAATTAAGAATATCAAGAATCATCCTTTGTTTTTCTTACCTTCTAATGGGGCAATCTTGTCCATTCTCTGTCCACTGACTGGTCTGAGAAGACTAGTTACCTCCACCAAGGAAGTTGTGTATATGTTTTTACCAGTCTTTGTTGTTTTTTTCACAACATAACTCAAAAAGCAATGAATGAATTTAGATGACATTTTTTGGTATGGCCCACAGAACAATTCATTATATTTTGGTGGTGATCCGGCTCATCACCCAGATCCAAGATATTTTTTAAAGCATTCTTCACCATTGTGAGATAGGGCCCATTTCAAACATACATAATGATTAGAGTACTTGGACAAAAAAAATGCACAGCAACATCCACATAAGATCTACCACACAACCACAGTATGATCCAGAATGTTCACAACAAATAATGCTACAGACTTGAATCCAATACCAGACTGTAGCTGAAACTCTGCTGACTCAGTAGGGTGTCAGCAGATTGAAATTTCTTCAAACGTTACTGAACTAGATCCTGAAAAACCTGCCATTGGTGAAATATTGCTTTTCTTGTATCACCTTCAAACCAGTGATGATACCAATGTGATTCCAAATGCTACACGTAGGTTTTCAGAGTCAAGGAATCACATTATGAGGATCAAACTGGGTATAATTGCTTTTATGTGTAATGACATTATTGACTGATTTGCTTTGATGGAGGTTTGCAGCCTCAGGACTGTGTGGTTTGTTTTATGTGACTATCATATGGAAAAAAATCAAAGTATCTGGGTAAACTGGACATTATGTAAGTTATTTCAGGCACTATAAGTTTGAGGATGATCACTATGTAAATAAAATTTTGGTAAAATAATTATTTTCAGTAATGTTGTTCAGATAGTTTAATTTGTAATCCACAGTTATGAGAAATTAGTCTTCTGTTATTGCATTAATCATCTCGATTGTGTCCAACTTTCAGCCAGCTGCACATGGACAAGCCACACTCAGAGAGAGAGGTCCTAGAAGATCCAGGACATGCTGACAAGGTTAACTGACAAGGTTGAATTGGTTA